AACCAAAAGGAACAGGGAGAGAGCAGCCTTTAATTCAACCTGATTTTTGTTTGCCTGTGTGTGGAAAAAAGGTTTCTCAAGAGAAATTAGACTTGTAGCTCTCTGAAAACTCCTAATCCAAGTTGTTATCGTCAAGGACTAGAGACAGGCGCTGACCTCTACATGTAACATCTGTAATGTGTTTAACCTCACAGCAGAGCCCCAGTTCTACGAAAGGGCACTGGAGCCTTTCCCAGGGTCATACTTGACCTGTGGAAGCACAAGGATTTGAAGCCAGATTTCCAAAGCCCTGGGCTAAGGTACTGATCGTTACACAACCCTTCCATTTTAAATGTTCCCAATGATTTTGCAAGGGAGATTCCTTTTACAGGGCTGGTACGCTCCTCCAGCAGCATACCTGGCATACGCAACTCTGAACATCATCAGGACATACCGACACCTCTTTCTGCTCTCATCCCTGGGTGCCTTACATGAACCCTCTGCAACACATCACTGTCATCTCTGCAGTCCAAAGCTGTGCTACATGTGCTGCTTCTGGCCCAAGCTTTTCTTGCCTACAACTATTTTACAGTGTGTTAGCTGGCCAATGCATTATGCACGAAGTAACACAAAGCAGACTGTGTGTTGCATGCTGCAGCGCATGTTCTGGTACACCAGCTACCAGAGAATAGATTTCTGACGTGTGTGGGTGCCTAAAGGTTCAGGCTTCCAAAAATCCTTATTGCCTATCTGCATCTTTAGACACCAAAATACCTTGAAAATCTGTCCCCAGGCCTCTTTCCAGAGGAGGGTCAAATGACAGGATATTAAAAGCATGAAACAAATTATATTCTCCTGTTCTCCCTGAGCCCTCATGAAAGCTTCTACATGAGGAATGCGAGGTTGGAGGAGGACAAGGTGTACGTCCTAAAGTACACTGAACTGTAGCCCCAGTAGGTGTGATTTTATTGATGCATGAACAGGGAAGCAGATAAGCAGGAGCCGGGGATCGTGGAGGTCACAGCGGTGTGAGCATGCGGCTGGGCTTGGGCATTTCTGGAGCAAATGGCATACGTGCATCCAGCTCCACTGAGACAGAAGGGGGTGGCCTTGCAGATAAAGTACTGTGACAAAGTGCAAGTTCAACTCCTTGCTCCTCAGGCTAGCTTTTAGAGACATTTAGATGCCTCTTTTCTAAGCATCGCGCTCAAAGGCTGAATTCTCGAGGAGATCAGCAGGTAGTGAGTGTGCAAGGGATTTTGAAAATCTGGCTCCAGGTGTGGAACTGAACATCTGGAAATCTGGCCCTGAATTCAGTGGGAAAAATCTCACTTCAGCTTTCATTATCTTTTAACGACTCCTCCCTTTTACATAAAACTTCTACTGCTGTACTCCATCCCGGGGAGCATGAAGGGAGCACACACTTCAGCCGTGTTTTCTTGCTGCAACCAGATGCAACCTCTGTCTACACTGCTGTTCCCACCGGTGCTGTCACTCCAGCTGCCACCATAGATCTGCTCCATGAAGGCTCCCTGCCTCCATTTCCTCCTCTGCACAGTACAGGGAAGGACTGTACAGTACCCCATTGCACCTTCCAAATAATTTCTCTGCCTCTCCTTTCTGCCTTAGGTGTGAAAGGTACAAGGCTGTGATGAACTGAGACCAGAGACAGCTACTTTGTGTGTCTGTGTATCTGTATATGTTTATATATGTGTATGTTTATTTGCCACCCCACCCCATTTTGGTTGCAAGTCCATTGTCTTTTTAGTGAATTGCTTTAAAGGAAAGAGAGAAAGAGGAGCTGATGAGAGAGTTCCCTGCAAACGCAGCCATTTGATATGAAGGCTGATAGGGGATGGATGGTACCCAAGGAATACATGCGAGAGGTTTTGTTCTTGTCTCATGGAAAACATGCTGAGGGCTTTTAAGGTTTCCATCACGGGAGAGTTTGCATACTAGATGCTGTAGTTATACAAGACAAATTACCCCTGGTACTTAGTCGTTCTTTGAGAACAGACCAGTCCTCTTTGCTTGCGTGAGAGTCGGTATTTGTGGGACTTCTGCCACTCCTTGATGTTGAAAGAACTGCCAAGATCCTGAGCAAATATTTAAGGCTTAACCACATCTGATAAGCAAAAGCCCAAGTGAAGGCAAAGGGCCTTGTTAGCCCAGCGCACAGATACTTTTCAGTTATTTCATAAAGGACAATTAAAAGCCACGTTTCTTTTCCCTTTTTGAGGGAGACATTGACAAAAAGTATCCAGCCGAGATCTTGTTACGAGGGCTTCGCACACTGATTGCAGAACCACGTGGTCCATGAGCCTTTCCAAGGACAGGCTTTGAAGGAACTACTGTTGGCTTTCAATGGCAATAAGGGTGTGGGACAGGGAAGGCTGCAGCTCTGATTCATTCCCAATGCACAGTCCAGCTGCGTCCTCACCAGAGACCCCCAGTTCTGGCTGAACTGGGTTCCTCAGTGGCTGTCAGTTGGCCGTGCTGATTGAATCCTGCGCTCAGGCTGGCTTGGAGAAGTGGCTCAGAGAGTAACTTTTGTACAGGCTTGTGCTTTTCCTAGTCATCAAACTTATGCCCCAGAGGTCTGGTTGTTCCTTACAGTAAACAGTGATTGTAGTGCTTGGCAATGTGCAGTTAGCTGCTCTCCCCAGGCTGGATACTCTTAACTGTAGCTTCTAGGGCAGGATTTAGGCATATAAAATTACTTGCAAAGACAGTCAAGATTTTAAGATCAGTTTTTAATTGCTGCAGCAACAAAGTTTTCTGTCTCCAACAAACCCCTTTAAAAACGAGAGGGAGAAACCTTCATGAATTCCATGGCAGAACAAGATCCAGGAGCTGAAAACAAAGCTGGACATGTTTGGACTAGAAATAAGGTGCACAATTTTAGCAGTGAAGGTGATTAACTGGAACAACTTCCCTGAGGAGGAGGTGAGTTCGCCATTGCTGCAAGTCCTTAAATCAAAGCTGAGAGTCTCTTTCTAAAAGGCACCTTCTAGCTCAGCAAGAAATTATGGCCTTGTTCAAGGGACTGGTAGGTGAAAATCCCTTTGCAGGGGAGCTGGAACCAATCATGACATTTCCCTCTCGGCTTAAAATCAGTGAGCCTGAGCACAGCCTCCAGATCCCTGGCTTAGACCTCAGTCCTTTGAACCACATCACCCTAGTGAGTCTGGAAGACAAACGGCCCCTTTCTGGAGGAGGGTCCCAGTGTTATATTTGATACTGTGGCCTACAGCTTAGTTGAGCTCGTCTTCTTTCTGCTGTATGCGGCCTTTGCAACAGCAAAGGTGTCCGAAGCCCTGTCTGGCAGGTGAGGAGCGTCGGTCACTGCACCTGCAGCTTGGCTCCAGGGAATGGCGTGCAGTGGGGCTCTGCGAACATGGCCAGCTCCATAGATGCACTGCATCTTGTGGTTGATGTGCATCAGAAGTCTGGGTGCAGGAGCCAGGCCCGCCTTGTGCTGTCTGTGAGGTTTCATTGAAGGTCTGGCAGCAAGTGATGCCCCATGTTCCAACAGATGTGATACCTTTTAAGCAGCTGCAAGCAAAGGGGGCTAGGAGATGCAGTGCCTGCCCCGAGCACGCATGGAATAGCAGGAGGAAACACATGGCAGAACATGGGCGCAGAAACTGCCTGGGAAATGATTTCGCTGCTGAAGGGACTCCCGCAGACTGGAACCAGGGGAAGGAGAGAGCTGGCCCCTGTGCTGGGCTATGCGCTCGCTCTTGGCACGCGTGGTCCCTTACCTGATAGCCGAAGCCTCGTAATTGCCCTTATCCCACGTGACTTCCCGCCGCCTTCAGCCCCACCGCGCAGATGTGCAGCTGTGCCTGGGGCCAGGTGACGTTCAGCCGGTGCTCATCCACCCAGCGAGCTCTAGGGCCTTAAATAGGTGTGCAGGGACATGCGTTTCCCCCAGGAAGCGCCGGCTGCCTTGGGCATCCTCTGACTCTGATGTAATCCCTCGGGGGAGCAGCCAGATGTTTTTCTCTTGAGTCAGGTACAAACAGAGCTGCTACTGGAGGAAACACCCACCGCTTGCTGCAGGTCTCGGCAAGCGCCAGCTGTGTAATCCTTGCGAGGGGGTTCTGTGCAGTCAGACATGACCGTACGTAACCCGTCCTCTCGCAGCGCCTGCCAGCGCTTGGGTGGGTCACTGTGACTTGGTATCAGGGAAGAAATCAGCCCTTATAGGGGCTTAATGAAATCCCGGTGCTGGGCCGTGCCAGCCTTTCCCACAAAGCACCGCGCTCCTCGCCGGGAAAGGCGGCCCGGCCCGACGCGGTGGAAGCAGCTGCAGGGCCACGCGCTGGGTGAGCGGCACCCCCCGCCCTCCCTGCAGGGGCTGGAAACTGGAGCCAAAATTAATAACGAGAAGAATAGAGACATGTATCCCCCGCGGAGCTTAGCTAACGAACCTGACTCAAACACTGAATTGCTAACAACCTCCTGTTTCTGCTTCCAGACTTCAAATACATAGAGATGACGCCAGCTAGAGCCAAGTGTCCCGAGCTGCTGCAGGGCTCCCCAAGCCCATCCAGCACGCCGTTCTCGAGGTCCCCGCAAGGCAACGGCTTCCTGCCCCACAAAGGGGGGCTCAGAGGCAGCTGCAGCACGAACGGCAGCGTGGTCTTCTCGAGCTCCCCAGGGCCTGAGAGCCCCCGGGCAGGCCACCTAAGCTGCGCTGCCTCGCAGACCTGCAGCAAAGCATCGGAGTGCATCGCCATCCCCCAGCGCTGCGCTGCTGGACAGAAGGACAGCATCTCCTACGGCCCAAGCGCACTCCTCGGCACGTCTCCGGGCTTGGACAATTTGCTGAAGCCTTTGCACGTTTTGAAGGCGCAGCAAAGGACCAGTGGCATCTCCCTGCTGTCCACCAGTCCCGGGTCGGACACCAGTTACGTCCTTGGAAGGTAAATGCAGCCTTGTGTCTCTGCCCGGGGCTGGTGATGGGAGATGAAAGGGGCACGGGACAGCTACCCCTAGTCCTGTTGTCCAAGGCCTTCCTCCTCAGGGTGGGAGTTAATATCTAAGCAGGGCTGAGCTCTCCTTGTAGCTGCAGTCTCTGGGGTGGTCTGTGCTTTGTGTCCTGACTAAGCAACTCCTGCCAATTGCCTTCTACTCTGTGTCTTCCTCTTGCAGCAGCACCCACTCACTCCACAATGATGATTCAGACGCTCACCCTGTTGCTGGCGGCTCGGCTGACTGCCCGTCCCCCGCAGGATCCCTTGGCAGCCCCTGCCTATCTTCCCCAAGCGTCAAATCTCACACTGGAGAAGCCCTTGGCCTGGGCTCCTTCCACCAAAGCTCCACCAAAGCCGGTACGCCCCCATCACAGAAGGGCCAGGCCAGCAGCTGCCCCCCCTCCATCCTCAACTCCACAGCCGACATCCCGGTACTGCTGGTGAATGGGTGCCTGGAGCAAGGAGATGCCTCTCCCCAGCTGACCAGAGGTCCCCCAGCCTCAGTGAAGCAGAGCCCTCCTCCCGGCTGTGGTCTGTCCCCTGGGCTCGGTGGCTTGAACAACGCGCTATCTGCACCGGTGCTCTCCTGTGCCTCGGACAGTAAGTCATCTCCCTGCCACAAGGCAGTGCTCACGGGTGGAGGAACCTTACATCAGCCATGGTGTTTCCCCCATCAAGCTCCTAGGGCACACGTTCAGCAG